AACAATAACAATAAACAAAGACCTGAAAATAACCTATGAAAACTTCACTGTATATTCTAAAATGGTATATAATGGAGAGCTCTATTCATGTTTTAGTTACCCACATAAAACCAAGTGCATCTATTTTATAAACATTTACTGTAGAGTTTCATTATAATGTTTGCTTGCTACAAAAAAGACAAGTTTGATATATGGAAGTGACATCTCTATTTAACTAAAATAGTTGATATAAGTAAACAGGACATGAAGAATATTGGTGTTCTTGAAAGCCTGCCTGCTTTTCACTGAGCTAATTAGATGATGTGATAAGAGCACATCCACTCAGATGCAAACTTTGTTTTTTGGTTGCCCTAAACCAGTACACCTAGTTAGATGCTCATGGTTTTAAGAGCACTAGTGCTAGACCAAAATAATCATATTCCCATTTTTTACCCTCCTATCCAAAGGACAAAGATTTTTTTTTTTAATGGTCATCTGCCTGAAATATTCATGTTTCATGTACTTAGAATTAGGTCAATAACAGCAACAGAATTACAGGCACTGGAATCAGCTAATGTCAATGAGAATCACAAAAACAGACCTTGTAATAAGGAGACAGCAGTATTGTTAATTGTATATTCTACTGAAATACACAGTCTTTGAACACTAAATATATATCCTGAGATATACCCAATATGTGATGTGATTTGGGGGGTTTTCCTGTGCAGGGCCAGGAGCTGGACTCAATGATCCACATGGATCCCTTCCAGCTCACAACATTCTACATACCCTGAATTTTCAGGTGTAAACAGATAATTTCTTTCTTCATATTTAAGATATTTGATATTAAATTATAGTCTATCCACCCATCACCATTTGTAAACTATTTTGAATTTTATATGAGCATAGAGATATGAAAGATGTAAACCTGGAATGCTTACAAATCATACTTCTTCCTGGTGATCCAAAAATCAAAGAGGAGACCTGAAGTTGCCTGACTCTTCAGCTCTGTTAAAAAGCTCATTCTTCCACTTGTGTGTGAAATGGAAACTTTTCCAATTGTTCCTAATAGAGTTTGTTATTTCATTTTCCCTTCCTTTCCTTTCATTTTCATTTAGAACTGATGACAATGCAAAGAAATATTTGGAGTTTAACTTTCAAGACTCACAGGGCCCCTAACCCAAATATCAGCAACATCTGGATTATGAACATATTTGTGTGTATCTTCACATTGGTTGAGGTTGTTGTGAAAATCAAGTCTAAACTACTAGCTTAGGGACAATCTTTTTATCTGGGCTGTGCTGCTTGCTACCACAGACATGGAAGTGATAAATAATGTGCTGGTCCCTCTCTCACAGCATTTTTGCTCTACTGCTCTACAGCTGCTGGTAGAGCTGCCTCTGCTGAAGGAAAAAGAATGATCATGTCAGTGTTTATGGTGAAATATCCTCTAGTGTCATTATTTCCACTCTTCTTTTTCCTGTTGTGGTATATCTTTCAAGTATCAATGATTATCTGCAATATTCATTCATAAAGCTATCACACAATTCATCATTTAACCCCTTCTGTTTTACCAAGACACTGACAATTTCAAGGTTTACTAATTGCATTCATGTGAGAGAGGAGCTCACCACTGATTGCATCTGCAGAAGGCTTGCTACAAGGTTTTGACTGTTCAAGTTAGGTTCTTTTAATTACACTCCATCATTGCCCCCAGTTTCCATAAAGCGGCACTTATGTGACAAAGAGCCATGCAAAGTTGTCTGTACAGGAGTAAATTTCACCTTTGGGGACTAATTATAAAGAGTTTTTGGTGATGAACAATTTTGCAATGTTTCAATAAGATAGTTAAATCTCCCCAGTATGTTCAAAAATTAATTCAAAATGTCAGATTTTGATGGGGTTGTGGTATCAAACTGTAAGCATCTCTGAGTGTTTTAATTTCTCTTTACCCCCAAATTAATATGAGATGAAACAGGAAGAACAGCAGTAGTAATTCTTGTATCTTCAAAAAAATTGTACTGGATTTTGTCTCCAGAGTCATTTCTAAGTAACTGGCACTCTGATCCCATAAAAATTAGCTAGGACAGGCAGCTAAAATTAACTAAATTGAAACTACCCCTCACTGCTTCAGCTTCTGCCCTCAATCAGCCTTAGAGTTTTAATCCAAGTCTTGTTCAGAAAACTGGAAATATTTCTATAAAATCAAGTACAAATCCACGTAAGAAGTAATCTCTTGGCTGGAAACTAATTTTCATAGAGAAGAAAAACCAGTACTCCTAATGTAAAAAAAACCATCCCTGAAGGTTTGATGAAGCAGGATCCTTGGCTTACCTGGTTCAGTTTTGTTTGGAAAAATTAAACATCTCCAAGGGAGGGAGTGGTCCAAAGCTGGTCTCTGTAGCATATCTGATTTCTAGGCAGTATTTTCAGAAGGAGTAAGAGTTCAAAACCTAGTTAACTGCAAAATTTCAGTTGGAAATGCTTTATTTGTCCTTTTCTTCTCCTCTCTGAAACCTGCCTACCAAGGTTTTCAGTTTTGTTACTTTTTCCTTTCATGCCTGGAAAAGTCTCTCAAGCAGGAGAAACCTTGAAACTGCAAGAAAAATAATGTTAATTTCACAAAATGAGAGGGGGGTGTAATTCCTTCCATATTCATTATTTAATCATAGAAACCTCAGAATAAAACTCTTCAGATGTGGGACATTTGTGTCCCTATGAAACTGATTCACATCACGTAGGCTCAGGGATTCAGTTAAACACCATTCATTTAAAATTCCTTTGTGTTGAATTCCCTAAGCTCAATTACCTGCTTTACAGAAGTGACAAAGTTTATTTTTATGAAATTTCTTTACAAAAAGATTATGTGACCTGCCATCTGTTCCCAAAGTTTTGTTTGTCCCAGCAGAAGCAGAACAGAACTTCAGGGATCTCTACAAGCAACTCCTGAATGTGTCCTTCACCCATAAAAAAAGAACATCTTTCTGAAGTTCAGAAGGAAATATCCATCAGGTTTGCAATAGAAGCCAATTAATGAAAGATTTGTTTTTAACCAGTCTTATGGCAAAAAAAAAAATACAGGAAGGATTCTATTAGTTTGAAACTTTTGTGTTATCCAAATAAGGTTACATTTTACTTTGTGTGGGTTTTGTCTTCTCTGAGTTACCTTGGGTTTTGCCATTTCTTTGAGGTAAGACTGAAAACTTTTGCTGCTGTTTGGAAGGCCAGTATGAGATCCAGCACATCTGAGGTGAAGAAGGAAACTCATAAGTTGCTGCTTATTTATTGCAGGCTGCCATGATGAAAAGTTAGAGGAAGCAACAGGCTGCCTGCACTTCCAGTCTTGTCATTCTCCTGATATGCTTCACTAAAAAGTGGTCAGGGCTCCACTCCTACATAGCCCTGCTTCTTACAGTCTACACAGATCTGGAGAGGGATGAATGAGTGGGGAATAATTTCTTCTTATTGTTCAAACTTGAAGCTCTTCTGCGGTTTTGACACAGTATTGCTGCTGTTAACTCTGCTCATACTTGAGAACAAAAAGAAAATTTGGTATATATAGGATGATTTGGTTCCTTCCAGCCTTGCACCTTCAACCCATATAGGGGAGTAAGGGGAGAAGAAATGCTGCCTTGTCTTTTCTATGACCTTATTAAATCCTGTTTTCTATTACAACCTCCAAATAGGCACAGAAAATGTAACTTCTTGCTGAAGTGACACTGCTTACAAAGCCTGGTATGAGAAGGAGAACATGGGGGAGGAGGAGGCACTCAAAGACCGAACCAGGATCTGAGAAAACTGCGGATCTTGATTCTTCTGTCTAGGGAATTAAGGACTGCTAATTGCTCTCCTGCAAGACATGGGTAGCGATTGTCACATTAGACTGGTGCGGAGGGATGTGTGCTTGTGCTGGAGGCACAACACGGGGGTGACTGCACAGAGCAGCACAACCGCCGGTCCAAGGGGCTGTCAAGTGCTCCAAGTAATCCAATCTGACGTTTGTGTGTTAACTTCCTTGCAGTTACCTTAATCTGACTTCAGTTTGTAGGTTGATAGTAAGCCTTCTCAGGCGTGCTCCAGACATTGAACTGATTTGGTTCCTAGTTTTCACGCTAGTCTCCAAAGGCGTGGCGGGAGATAACGCTGTGTGACGCCAGTCCCCAGCAAAACTCCCTGTCCAGCTCTACATGACACTAACACCCCCATAAAAACTGGACTGAAAGCAAAGCCGTTGAAAACAGACTGCTGAACCGGGCAGCAGTTCAGAGAACTTTGAAAATCTCCTTACGGAGTGAATCTGGCGAGCTGGCTCGTAAGGCACAGCGCTGTGTGACAGCCGCGTCCGTGCGGTGCTGGCAAGGCCGGGGCGGGGGGGAGCTGGCGGCAGCCTCGGGGCAGGTGTGGGCGAGGGGCTGGAACATGCACCTGAGCCAGGAGCCCCGCTCCAAGCAGCGCCCAGGACAGACCGTGGGATGAAAGCGAGAACCGCCCCGGTTTCAGAGGTGTTTTGAGCCCGGCACTGTGAGGCGCGGAGCTGTGGGGCCGCTGGCAGGGCCAGCTGTGCTGCCCACCCGGGGAGAAACCTCGGGGGCGGTGCCGCTCCCCTCCCTCACGAACTACAACTCCCGACGTGCCTTGCTGCCGCCTGCCCTGGCCGGGCCAGAGCAGGTGGCGCGCTGCCCTGCGGGAGCTGTAGGCCGGGGAAAATCGATGGGCAGTGGGACAGTGGCGGGCAGGGAAGGGTTTTCGGTTCTCGACCCGATTCTCGGCCCGGCCCGCGGTCTGTGGGGGAGAACCGGGCCTCGGGCAGGGAGGGCGGCGGGGCGGGGGAACCGTGGGGAGCGGGGACGCGCGTCAGTCACCCCGCCAGGCGGCGCGCGCGCTCCCCGCGCCGGATGCTGAGGGGGAGAAGGGGGTGCGCGGGCGCGCGCTCGACGAGGCAAAGGGGGGTGGGGGGGAGGGAGAGGAGCCGGGGGAGCGCGCGCTCGTATGTAAATGAGCGGGCGTGAGGTCAGAGGCAGATGGAAAAGGGAACAGAAGGAATGGCCGCCGCGGCTCCCGCTCCTCCTGCCGCCGCCTCCCAGTGCCGGAGCCCCCGCTGCACGGCGGAGCGAAGGGGAGTCCGCCGAGAACTCGACTCCTGGCGGCACCGGCTCATGCACTGTGTGGGTAAGAGAGGGGGCGGCGGCGGCGTGTCCCGGCTGCAGCGGGGGGCACCGAGGGGCGGGGGACGGGGCGGCGAGCGGGGTCTGTGAGGGGAACGGGCAGCGGGGCGGGCGAGGCTCTCCGAGCCCAGATCTGTCGAGTGGGCGGAGGGGGGGGAGCGGGGATGGAGGAGCAGCTCCAGCGGCTTTCTTGGAGGGTGGGAGCGGGGACGGGGTCTGTAAGGGAGAGCGAAGGTCCTAAGCCGCCTCCGGGCAGCAGAGGGTGGGTGCTACGGCTTTGCCTGGGGCCGCTGGCTCCCTCCCGTCATCGCCGACCGAGAGCCTTTCTCGGCTCGGGTCCTTTTGTCTCAGCTCCTCGTCGATCGCGCGGTGAGCGCCGGTGGCTGCCCCCCTCCTCTCCTCCATCGCCAGTGCCTGGGGGGCGGAGGGGGGAAGGGAGCCCGCCTCTGTGTGTGTGTCTGTGTGTGCGTGCGCCTTTAAGAGGGAGCCGCTCCTGCACTGACGGTTGGGATTTGAAGTTTTCCCTCCCCCTGGAAGTTGTCATGGCGACGGCAGCTCTCCCCCCTCCCGCACCCGGGGCTGCCCCGGTGGCTCTCGTGCCGGGAGGGTTCCTGGGTCACGTGACTCCCGCGCGCGTGTCCGGCTGGCGGGGGCGCGCGGGCACCGGCGGCGTTCCCGCCCGGAGGAGCCCCGGGACCGGCGCTGCTCCCGCTGCGCTCCGCCCGGGCAAAGGCAGCCTCCCCTCCCGGCCCCTGTCCCTGTAAGCGCTGGCATTCGGCACGTGTGCCGCCTCGGGGCGGCGGGCGCTTCGCTTGGGGTTTTTTTTTTTTTTGTTTATTTGTTTGTGGAGGTGGGGTGTGAACGCTGAGGCCGGGAACTGCCTGTTTGTATTGTTTCAACAGTCGTTTCCCTTCTTGGGGAAATAGAATCCTTGATCTTCAAGTAGAGCGTTAGAGTCGCTGCCGATCCTCCCCGATGGCTGAGCGGGGAAACACATCTAGTGTGGCTGGGAGGGTGAGCAGCACTTCATTCAGTGTTTCTGCGGGCGCTTGAGACAAGAGCAGAGTAAGCAGTGAATACCTAACGAGCTGGCATACCTGTATTTACAGGCAATTAGTACTAATCCACTATCCGTGGATTTTTTACGTTTTTTAGTAACCCGATAATTGCCTGTTACACGCAAGCTTCTTGATCTTGCTGTGTTGCCCCAAGAGCACTTATAAACACCTGTTATAACACCTGTATATATGTGAACATGTCTCTGTATGCTTGCAGTGTCTTTTTATTCCTCCAAGTTATAGTACAGTGTTTTCTAAACACTACTACACTATATAACGCTTCTAATAGAAAGAATGCAGTTTAATTAGAATATACAGGAGGGCCAGATTATTTGCATAGATGCTGTGATAAGGTGTTAAATCTGAGGATGGATATCTCTCACAAGTGGTGCTTTCTGTGGCTGGCTGTTATTTAATGGCATTTCACTGAAAAATTTAAACTGAAATCTAGAAGTCTGCTTGACAGTGGATGACTGAAGGAGTCTTCTGGTGGTAATTGTATGCTGTCAGATGTGTTTGAGAAACAGTTGCACAGCACAACCCGCACTGAGAAGTGTAAAGAAATACAAGAAGTTGAGTCCTCTACTGGGCAGATCTCCTGGGTTTAGGGAACTTCTTCAGAGTTGCCTTTTGAGTTGGCCTTTCACTGAGAATTGCAAAGTGCAGAACTGTCATATAATTACTTAAATTTTACACTGATTGCACTACGGTTGTGCTTCACATTCAGCTTTGTCTTATTTGGAATAAAAGATAAGGGTATGATTTCTTTGTATGTTCATGATGAGAAATTCAGTTAAAAGAAGGGAGCCCTGAGATTAGTAGCAACTGCTAAAGAGAAAGGACGTAGGTTATGGTTTAATAGTTAGTCAAGAGCTATCTCAGTTAAGAACTGTTACCTGGCAGGCCTGTTGAGCAGCCCTTATCAGAGAGAGAGTGTAAACAAAGTGGCAAGAAAGTGAGTAGTCAGGATAATGGAGGTAGAGTACGTTTAACAGGTTTGGGCTGGGGGTTTTTTGTGTGGGGTTTTTGTTCCCCTTTACTCCTTTGAAATTCCGTTGCATTAAATTCTGTAAAATAACCTCCTACAATAGCTAAAAATAACTTCTAAAGTAAAAATGGTTCATTGTTCTCACTTGCCAAAGTATTCCTAAGGATTTGAAGAGTCTAACAAAGTTAGTGTTACCTGGAAGGTCTTGATGGCTGAAATGGCAGCATGGTGGAGGAGGGAGTGGTGAGTTTGGATTTGGCACTCTTCTCAAGAATTGTATGTTTATAGTAAAATGAGAAAAACAATATGGTAAGGCAGTGGTCCCCCAGTTCTTGAACTTTTTGGATGAACAACTTTATTTTGATGTCTTGTGTCATTTACTGTATTGATACTAAATTTGATATTGGCATTTCTGTAGTATAATTAATTGAACACTGAAATCATTTATCTGTCAAGGATTCCTCATCTACTTTCTATATGGAAGTGGTAAACTGAGCTGGAGATAACTCCAAGGCAGCGGTTGAGGCTCACAGCGAGCACTGTTCTTATTTACAACAGTGAGAGTGAAATAATATTCAGTGGAGGGCTTGTGATGGTTAGGGACTTCTGCTTGAAGGGTGCAGTTGCTGAATTGTTCATTGGTCAAAGCCTGGGAGATGTAGCAGATTTAGCTCTGAAGCCCATGCATGTATGTAGAAGCTTGGGGTTTGCCAGCCTGATGTGTTTATTTGTGACCTGCAGAATATGATTTAAAGTCTCATGTCAAAATGTTCGAACACTTAAAGAATTTGAAAAGCAAATCAGTGATAAGATTTCACTGACATTACTGAAAATTTGTTTGTTTGGTATCTAAACGTACTTGAAGGTACAAAAGAATCCACATGGTAAATGACTGCAATATATTAATGGAAATTTGAAATAGGTGTTCAGTACAAAATGTCTGTTCAGCTGGAAATCTTTGTGTGTGTTATGTTGAGCACTGACATTCCTAAGATGCTTAGACTTGTGCTTATTGGGTGTTCCTAACTCTTGCATGACTCAATCAGAGTTCAAAACTAGATGTTCTTAAAAAGCACCTGGAGATCTCAATTCTGTAGTGTCCTTACAGCTGTATACTATGTGCTGACAAGTACTGCTTATTCTTGTCAACAGTGCTCACTGGTATGTTTGGACTTAGGTACAGTCTTTGTGGCATAACACAAAATACCCTAATTGTAAATGGTGTATTTATAGAAAAGTGCCAGAAAGCTCAGGATTGAAGTACCTGAGTTCTGTGGTGGTTTAAATTGCAAAGTATTTTATAGAGGTGAATATCACAAGGATTAAAAAGTGCTCTCTGGTGCTCTTTGATTAGAACTTTGTCATGTGAATTGATTAAGTCTGTTCCATTGGATTGGGAGGCTTTGACAGTATGGACCTGTCTAGCTTTGTGATTAGCCTTAAAAAACAGGATTTATGCAGGTTTTTCCAAGCAGTAATTGATCCCACTGCCCAACTGCACTTGAACTTCATAGGTTGAGTGTTGGCAAGTACTTTGAGTTCCCATTACTTTCATGATTAGGCACAGAGGGGAGACCAGGTAATGGCTGGGATGCAAGAATGGTTCAAGCACAGGGTTGGGCTTTTTGCTGTGTTATCGCAGTAGCCTGTGGCTGAGGTTTGGAGCAGTAATATGGGGCTTTTTAATGGAAAGTGCCAGGTAATTCCAACCATGGATGTTGGAATCTTGCTAGGACCCTGCAGTGTGTTGTAAAAATACAACAGTGTCTAAGTATAACTTTTATTTTCAGTGAAAAATTAAATTATTATTGCTACTTTTTCTAAAAAAAAATACATTGCTGTTTGGGGGAAGGGCAGAAGTTTTACTGTTCCTCTGCTGCAGCTCAAGGGCACACATTTGACAGGAAATAGCCTTGGTATTGCTTTCTTATGAAAACTGAAATTTGATCAAAGTGAAAATCCATTTTTGTATGCCTGTGATATGTAGCATACAAATACTCCTTTACTCTTGTTAAATTTTTCCAGCCTTTTTTCCTTCAAAACTAGGATACATTATTGCATCTAATTCTGTTTTGATAGAACTTGACTTTCAATTTGTATTTTGTTTTAGTATTTGAACTTCTGCTCCAGCTTACTATTTTTGAACAAGCTGTCTCAAAAGTGTACTTTCCAAGGAGAGGAATTCCCCCCAAACAAAAGATTTATATCTGCTTCAGTTGCTGGTATCCCCACACTTGCAACACTCCTGCATTAAATGCCTCATATCTTTATTCCCACAATATGCAGCAGTGTTCTCACTTTCCATGTGGGTGTAAGCACTTTGCAGCAGGATAGTGTCACTTTTTATTTGTAATACTGTCATGGTTTTAGGTGATTTTCTATGGTTGCCATTGTAGTAGTGGGAGAACCAGCTATTTTACTATGCATCTGTAATGTTCTTGTGTATCTGCTGATGATAGTTATGGTGGCTCAGTGCTCTGTCACCTGTCAGGCCACTAACAGATGGCATGCAAGAGTGACTTCAGTATGATACCTGCTTTGAACTCTTTTGCTTCCTTGGCACTCCAGCCAACAAGCCTGCTATGGCCATAGTGCCATCACCCAATGTGATGGGCAGTATTACTGGTGTAAGGTGTTCCTGTGGATCTGTTGTGCTTTAAGCTGTGATGTGAAACCCTTGGTGTGATTCCAGCGTGAAGCAGATCAAGGAAGTAATCTCACTGTTACTGCAAATGTTGGAAGTAGAACAGGAATTAAATCTAGATCTCAATCACAGCACAGGTTCACAGGCAGTTTTTGATGCAGTGAGGGAAGATGGTATCATCTAAGGGAATAGCTCAAACTAGCATTACAGAGTCAGGTGTGTAAGTGGGCACTAGCATTGAACACTTATTGTGAAACACAGCTTAAGAATGCAATAAAATGCCATTTTGCATTGTCAGCAGTTCCCATGGAACT